CGCGCACTAATAATAATGCCATAAGCAAGAGAGATGTTACCTTAGAAATCCCCGACAATGGATAGAAAAAGATCATTTAGCTTTTAGTTGAGAATAGAGCGAATGGCAGACAATACAACTCTGTTGGAATTCTAGCTGCTATGAATTTATACACCGGTGTACCTGCAGTCGTGAAATCGTTCTTTTACTCACCAGATGGATGTGAACATCAGTCTAATATTTGAAGAAGAAAGGGAAATGAGTGAGACTACTATTCTCATCCTAAAAACACCTGATGTAAAAACAATGAAGAAAGTTGGCAACCTGCTTTTAAACTGGTAGCAACCTCATCTAAAGGGATATGCGAAGACTGGTCCGAAACGGCTTGGAAAAGGATAGCATCAACAATAAACCATATCCCCTGACGTATTATTATTATTAAACAGACGAGTTCTTAGAAGACTATAGTAATTTAGGTGATATAGGTGAGGAAAGTGAAGTACCTTATGAAAGAGACGGATGCAGCGTTAAACAGGACACTTTGAAAAGCTATACAACTAACCCGAAATTGCCTATAACCCCTACCTCAGCACATATGAGACCCCATGAATTTGAGTTTTCCAACTCTAATCAAAGTTGCATGACATCATTACTCACTTTCTCCATTGCTTCAGTAAGATTATTATTTTTATCAGAGTTCCGGAAGAATGTCGAATCATTATCACTACCTAACCACACATCTAGTTTGTACAGTACTGGGAATATATGCATCTCTCCATTTTCATTTTGCATCGGCTCAAGATATTTCTCTGTCACTGGTGATTTCGAAGAATACTCACCCTAATATCAGCATGTAGAATATCCATTGGTCTGCAATATGTGTGACACTGTTCCTGATACAGAGTGAATATGTGTTCACTTTATCCTTTACCTGTTAAAGTGATATCCCTACACATTTCTCAGGACTTGAATTGTGTTAATAATAACAATTTCGCTTTATTCCAGAAACAGTACTTGTGGTACAGTGTGGAATTTTCAGCACATATCTACAATATTGCATCTAATTTCATCATACATTTAAAAGGACTATTATAAAAAAATAAAATAAAATATTTAAAAAACAAAAAAAAACAATAACAACAAAAAACCAAAAAGAAACACAGAAATAACAAAAAAATGCAATAAAAATATCAAGTAAAAAGGAAGATAAACACAAATAATGAAAAAATATTTCAGTATTGGTTAGTGGAAGCTACGATATGAGTATGCGTGGTGAACAGTAACAGCTATAATCATACGGGAAATTATGAGGTGTTCTTAAAAAAATGTTTATAGCTAAGGTGATCAGTTAATTTGATTGAACAACACTAAGCAATCATAAGATAAACATTGTCAGCACTAATGCAGTGTTTGTAGTGGTAGTGTGAGGAATCATGCATAATACAAAATTTTTAAGATGGTGATAGTGGCAATAACAAACAAGATTGTCAGTTAAATAGTGCCGAACAAAGAACAACCACAAAACTAATGTTACATGATGGTTAATGACGGGACAATTTTTAATAATCATAGTGATAATATAGTCGGACCCAGTAGATGTATAAAGAAGGAATAGAATAAAGAATAAAAATGTAAGCCAATGATAATGATTTTAAGCAGCTAAGTATGTTTAAGAAGGTTGTTCACTATAGAGTACAAATAAGAGAGTGTAAGGGGGAAATAACAAGGGCCAAAATTATGTTATTAACAACAAAGCAAGTCATAGGTTTCACGCTTAACATTGTCTCTGTCACTTAGAACACGGGCCAAATATGGTACCGTTGAGTTCCTATACTTGGTTGTACGAGCATATATTATTTTGTACTGATTTCTGGTTCTACCTGATGAGATGCAAGGAGAGAGTTGGGAATAGAGGGGGTGTTGGCAGTCAGAGAGTATGGTTTTAGACCATTTCTCACATCCAGTATTACTAACGTGACTGATTAACACATACAAATGCATAGTTCGTTTTAAAAGATATGTTTCATGATGACCTTACTCTCTAGTGAAAAAGACCTCAATTCACTATGCCTTCTGAAAAATTGTCCTTTTGAAGAGAGTTTTGATTCCATCTTTAGAGTAATTAGCAGGTCCATGTTGTCTCACCCCAGTGATATAGCATCTAAAGTCTGTTCTCAATCTTTGTTGCATATCACAGAACATCAAAAGTAAATTTAGTTTTGCATTAGCTTTTCGTAATAGTGACACATAATCCCGATTTGAGGAAGAACTAGCTAAACGCATATCTGAGTTCGACAGCTGTGCTCACCCTGGAGAAGCCTGGAAGAATATTCAGTCAGCTATAGATACAGCTGTAAAAGCTGTGAATAAGGAAAATCCAAAGGTGAGTAAAAACCACTGGATTTCGACTGCCTCATCCGAACTGATAGATGCTAGAAGACTTATTCCGGCGAGCTCCGAATTCAATGAGGAGCGAAAGCTGCACAAAAGGAAACTTACTAAAAGTCTCCGCAAGGACCGTGAACAGTGGTGGCTGACAAAGGCAAAAGAGATGGAAAAAGCATCGGCGATAGGCAACACTAGGCAACTCTTTAGACTCATCAGGGAAACGGGTGGGAGAAGGCAAATCATAAGTGAGACTATTTCTGAGAAAAATGGCTCCTTAATTAGCTCTCAGGATAGACGCCTTGAACGCTGGAAAGAACACTTTGAGGGACAATTTAACTTGCCTACAGCCACACTGAACCTCCCCGACATCCACACACCCGAATGGGATATAGACACTGGTCCGCCGTCTGTAAGTGAGGTCACAAAAGCTATCAGTAATTTGAAACGAGGCAAAGCGGCAGGACCCGACGGAATTATTCCGGAGGTGTTTAAATATGGGGGTGACATACTAGTTTGTAGATTAACTGAGGTACTAGGCAAAGTCTGGGAATCAGAGACAGTGCCATCAGACTGGGGTAAGTCACTTATTATACCGATATTCAAGAAGGGAAACAAGTCCTCGTGTGATAATCATAGGGGGATCAGCCTAACGAACATAGTCTCTAAAATCCTAGGCTCAGTAATCATGCATAGACTAAGCAGAACTCGGGAGGAACAGACAAGGGAAAATCAAGCAGGCTTTAGACCAGGTAGAGGGTGCATAGATCATATCTTCACTCTTCGACAGATTCTAGAACATAGACACACTTTTCGGCGTCCAACAATTGTCATATTTCTTGACTTGAAGGCGGCCTTCGACTCCGTGGATCGAAAGGTACTATGGCAATGTCTGACTGTGAAGGGAGTGCCAAGAAAGTACATTGCACTAATCAAGGCACTCTATTCAAACTCACGTAGTCGTGTAAGGGCTTATGGGGAATTGTCATCTGAATTGGTAACAACCAGTGGTGTCCGACAGGGATGTCCACTTTCCCCATTTCTGTTTAACTTCATCATAGATATGCTGATGGAAGTATCCTTAACTGAACGTAATGACTTAGGAATCGACTTGTTACCAGGGAATAGTCTTATGGACTTAGAATATGCAGATGACATAGTCCTGTTAGGGGAGGATGCTGACAAAATGCAGAGTCTTCTGAACACCTTGAGCAGCAATCTTCGTATGTTTGGCATGCGATTCGCCCCTGCAAAATGTAAGATGCTGCTACAGGACTGGACCACGTCAACTCCTAACTTAGTGATAGGGAGTGAAGTGATAGAACATGTTGACCACTTCACCTACTTGGGAAGTTGTATTAGCACCAACGGACTGATTGGCGATGAAATCTCAGCACGGATCCGAAAAGCTCGAGCTGCTTTCGCTGACTTACACCATCTCTGGCGTAGGCGTGACATCCGGTTATCAACCAAGGGACGTGTGTACTGCTCATCAGTTCGCTCCGTCCTTCTCTATGGCTCTGAAACATGGCCAATACGCGTTGAAGACATGAAAAGGTTGACTGCTTTCGATCATAGATGTCTGCGATCTCTGTCTCACGTTAGGTGGTTTAATAAGGTAAGTAATGTTGACGTTAGGCGTAGAGTGTTGGGCAAAGAGGGAAAATCAATCGACGAGGCTATAAAGTTACATAGACTAAGATGGCTAGGTCACGTGCTGCGCATGCCTAACCACCGCCTCCCCCGACGGGCATTACTAGCTGATATAGGTTCAGGTTGGAAAAGAGCCAGTGGTGGCCAAACAAAAACATGGCCTCATCAATCCATGAAATCCTTGACAGTTAAACTGAGTCAGGTAGGGAGATGCAGACTCCCGGGTTGGGGCCCTCGGGACTCTAGGAATCAATGGCTGGAGACAATAGGTGACATGGCTCAAAATCGTTGTCAATGGCCAGCGCAGATGTATTCAGTCTCTGTAATCTTTCATATTCCTTTCTACCATTACCCATTCTGTTTCACTCTTATACTTGTCAAACTCTATTGATTCTCTTCACTCATCTTCTTGTCTACCTCTGTGTGCTATTTGGAAGGTGGCAACTCGAACTGCTGCACTTCGGTGCCAAGTTCTATGTTGAATCCAGACAGACAGAGACAGACAGACAATATTCACCTTATGTGCAACGTCCAAGTATTATTTTTGCTTTCCGTTTGTTAACACAACGGTGAAACGAAAAATAAAAATCTCTTTTGAAGTGAAATTGTTTAACGCATAAAATTTTTCACAGGTTCGCATCTCGCCTGTCTGAAAACTTGATTCTCAACTTTTATGCTATTTAATCAACACACTATTATTATTATTTTGAACGATCTATCAAGTAGTGTTGTTATCTCTGATCTGGTAAGTCTGTTTCGTAGTATATTGCAAAAGATTGCTGCAGAATCGCCTCATACAATTCCGTTTACTCATATTGTAAATTGGTGTTCTATGTTATTAGTCATTCGGTTAGGTGGTCTTACTTCACATAAGCCTTCCTGCCTACTGGCATGAGCCATCGATGTTATTAATGGTTGCATTATAATAACATATATATCATCTGTTGGAAATCTTTTCCCCCTTCTTTTTCTTTACGTCTTAGCTTCTTCATCTACCGCCTTGTTTATCGGAAACTGTCAGCAGATCCAGCGCATCGGAAACAATTTTCAACTGTTCTAAGCTCCATGAGAAGCAACTGGATTTTTGAGATCGCCTTAGAAACAATCGAATTTTGTACATTTATCTAGAATTAAAAAATATATTTTTTTCTTGTTTATTTCACTCTTTTTTTATTCTGCGTAGTTCATAGCTGTCACCTTTTTCTCTATTTTGATTGTGAATAAGATAAGAGTGTATATGCTTTATGAATATTGAATTGTGGTATGCCAGATGCATAAAACTATATACTACTGATTGAGTAGTTGGATACCCCCAAAAGAGCGAGAGATAGCCGTCTGGTGATTAGATCACTTCGATGATCTGGCTAGCAAACACTACTACTGGTTAGGGGTGTCAATGGTGAGTATCCAACTACTCATCTTAACCAATCAGTAGTATACATTTTTATACATTTATATATTTAGTTTCTTCTTCATTACTATTTAAGGTGTCAAACAGATCACATATCGAACTCTGTAATTGACGATTTAATTAACAAATTATGAATTTGATTTGTGATGTTAGATTTCAAGAAACAATTGATGGAAACTGACTTCACCATGGTAACTTAAACCTGTGTCATCCACTACAGAAGACAGTAACTGTGCTACTGCTGATTCCCTGTACAGCTCATAGATATGCATGGGTCGATTTACCAGGCGGTAACAGTTGTGAATGTTCAATTTCAAGTGTGTTAATTAGAAGCTGATTGGTTGATTCATCAACGTAGAACTTTGCATAAAAGTGCAGAAATTCAAGTTGTCATGACTCAAAGAAACAAACATCAGATTAAACTAAGCAAATGTAATAAAAATAAAGTGAACGAAGATTTGTATGAGACAGAATAATTTGATGAAGAGTAGTGATGATTCTTTTGACTGGTAACAAGGTGATAATTCATTGCACCATTGCGAGTGAGATTACCGTGTCAAGTTAGCCATGCGATCACTAAGCTTAGTTAAATGACACAATAGCGCCTTTTTACTTTAATGTTGGGTGCGTGCGTGTCGTGGGACGACATTGAATACCTTGAGGATAGATTTCGACCAACATACACTAGTTTCCATCCGGTAACTGACCATTTACACTTATGATATCGATAACAGGCGAAAAAATCAATGTACAACCCTGCACCGAAATGCGTTGTTTCAAATTTCCTTAAATGAATCAGCATACACTACGAAAAGGATAGACATAAGTGTGAAAAAAATTCAGCACAGCTGAAACTATACAGAGTTTTGAGCGTCATTAAAAGTACTGATATATTCACCTGTCTGAATGAAGTAGTATCATGTCACCAACTGCCTACAGTCGTTAGTTCCCTATCATCTCTTTGAACTATAAACGGAAAACATTGCTTATTAATATCAATAGCCTTTCTTCTTTAAACTTCGCAGTCAGGATAAGACATCGTAATCTGTGGCGTGGGATGCCATCATCTAAATGTTAGTGAGTAAAGTCAGTCAAAGACCAACATTTATTATCTACTCAGTGGGTTCCCTGTGAGAAAAATAGCTTGTTTAGTGCTGTAAACCTTAGAGACTACAAATCTCAGTGTTTACCCGTTACTTACCATTTAACTTAGTCTGTCAACAATAACGTGTTTACTGTAAAGTGTGGAATTTTCGCAGTTCCATTATGAGTGATTTTGAGCTTCATGCTGTGTGCCAAAATAAGTTACTGTCGGTCCTCACAATTCGCAATCTTTAAGCTCTTAATTGAGTGAAATCCAACGATTGTTGTGTTTTGGCTAATTTGTGTATGATTAGCCATGTGTTGTTCATAGATGTGATTAAGCGAGCACTTTAAGTAACTTCCGGTTTATTTTCTTAGAACTTGAAGCAGTCAAGTAGACTTAAAACTTAGAAATAATCAGCAATAGAAAGCAGATTCGTAGGGAGAATGATGTGGCGCTACAAATGAAACAAAGGTGTGGTATCAATCTATTACCGCTATCGAGTTTTATTTTTTGAACTATACCACTTGCCGTATCCACTCGTGTATTTCTGTAGTCATATCCATCTTGACATTGATAAGGAAAGAAACTGTACTTACGGCAGATGAAAATGAAGTTCAAAAATTGATGAATTTTTCAAACGATCTAGGAAAGAATGATTTCCTCTCACTTCTAAAGAAACTAAGTTAAAGTTATGCAAATTATTTCAGTGATCAACGCTTGGTCTGATGTGGAGTGAGCTTCAATAATTTCCACGATATTATCTTCCTCCAGTTATTCACCTCCGATGTTTTTTTCTCATCTGTTTTCAGTACACATTGTGTGAGACATAATGTCCTATGTAACTGAAGACAGTCCCCCTGAACACTTACAAGTTGGCAATGGTGACCCTAATCTGATGTTACCCACTGAAGATCAGTATGACGTAAGTCTGGCCGCAGCAGAATATTATCAGACAGGAGGCTATTGGCATATTGGTACACAAATGATGGATTGTTTATTCCCAACTGATCGTATTGCTGATGTGGCTTTCGATCCATTGGAAGAATTAATATGGTGTGTCACACAAACAGTAAGTTTATTATCTTTATGTATACCTTCGGCTTGATTTTATTCCTCTTATCGTTTGAAAGATCCTTCCAATTCTATAAATGAGTCATAAAATCTAATTTCAAGGTGACCAACTAATGCAGTATACTGTAATAATACCTAAGCACTAACCACTTTTCACATCGTAAACAGAATTCAGTGACACGTGTATACTTTCTGTTTTGACCACAACTTTCACTACTGAGACCGCCAATTTTCAAAATGTGCATACGTTTTTACATAAACGTAACATTTTTTTTTATGAGTATCACTCTCGCCACAGCAGGAAACAAACACACAAACATAAAAAGGTTTTTGTGTCAGTCCATACACTTCAAGGACTCCATGAAATATTATACAACAGTAGGAGATTTATCATACTAACAGTTAACAAGCCTCTCATTTCTGTGTTGGAGTCAAAGACAGGTATCATAGTTCACTCGGTAAACAGACTTTAACCATTGGCGATTCTAATACTGGGGTTAGACTTCAACATAAGATATCGCCGGACAGAAGATTTTGGCCACACAGATGCTCTCTCGCACCTAATAAGTGATTACCCGTCGTCGAATAAGTAAATAGTTATTGCAACCATAAAGACTGAAAGCTAAGTTCAGAAATTAGGACGCTCTATAATTGAGAAGACCTGCCAAATTGCAGTCAGGTCATGCAGTGGAAAATCCCCCTAGTAGCAATCGCCATTACAATCATGCTACCGACAGCACATGGATTTCGCTAGGCGTGTGGATGGTGTGCATCACGTAGCTGTGATGGGCGCTTCTTTAAGGTGTTATTCGTCCAGATACGAAAACGTAGCGGGCCCTGCTGAACTCCCCGTGTCGTTGTTGTGGTTATTGACGGAGTAGGTTTTATATAGTGCGTTATATTCATGTCCGTCGCAGTCTCCTAGGACACAGGTATCATCTCGAAACAATACTGAGTATCTGCGAATTAACGTTTAATGAGTTAGGAAATGAGAAGAATAAAATGTATTTGTGAAATTGCTCACTTATTGAATTTTAAATGAACGGAACTCAGTTTTTATTTTCCCATTATATGTGTGTCTTATAAACTTTCGGCTTCGCTTATGATGTGGCTTTCAATTTTTATCGTTGAATTAGAAGTAGATAAAGCATTGAAAAATATTTCCCAAACAAATGAAAGATCCATAATAAAGTCATCAAAATATAATCACCATTGTTCCTTAATTGAAGAAAGTTTGTAATCAGTTTTATTTGATAAATTTTGGTTTCAAATATACAGGGGCAACTAAGTGCTTTTTATTCAACCACTTTGGAACGTTATATCAGTCTCACTGTCCCTTTAATTTCTGATGTGAACTCTTTTGAAAATGCAACACCTTACAATGAATTAAAACTAGTCTTTCCATCTCCGCGTCCTATCGAGCATTCTGTCTTTGTTTTGGCTAACAATGGACTATATGCTTTCGAGAAAACGGGAAGACCACTAGCGTCAGCTGTGTAAGTTTTGTGAATTATGGCAGATACAGTAACATTACATTTACTATATTTGCCAACTCTGTTTTACATTCCTTGTCATAGAAGTACAAGGATGATTATGTATATTTTTTGTTAAATATTCTATCATAATTTCACTATGACGATTGGTTTGATTTAGTCCTAATTGCTTTTCAAAAGTAAAAGTATTCATAGTTCTTAATGTGAATCGGCTCTGGAAACACTCTGTTCATTCTCTCCCAGTTAAGGTTTCTAATGAAGAAATTCTGCTCTTATTAAGTCAATTGTTCAAATCTGCTGATTCGCTTCTACATTTCCACCGCTAAGAGATGAGTTAATTTGGTCAAATTGAAAACATTAGAGAATTCCCAATAATCATAACATAAAGGTGTTTTCATTCAACGAATATGTGGATACACTAGTGGAAAGCCGGCAGAATTGTTGTAAGAATAGCACTTGTGCACTGTAGTAGAGTATAATTCCACAGTGATACATTATTTTCTGTTGACGTTTCAAGCACAATTTATTGTTCATAATCATATCAAATCACTGACATAATTTTTGTTTATATAATCCCACTATTTTTGTTTATGAAATAAAATGTAGTATGTAGGGGAACTTCCAGGTAGGTGATTGTGTGCGTCGGTAGCACAGTGGTTAGGACTCTCGCTGACCATGCACATGGTCCGAGGTTCGATCCCCTGCCGACGCACACCTGATATCTATGATCGGCCTGCAAAACTTGGGCTACTGATATCATATGCTGGAAATTCCATACTTGTATCAAAAAATACTGTGTGGTTTCAAGCTATAATCAAAAACGATTTTTGTGTATGAAATAAAATGTAGTATTTAGAGGAACTTCCAGGCAGGTGATTGTAGGAGTAAAAGAACATGAACACTGCTTTAATATAGTCCCTACAACCTAATCAATTTTGAAGAATTTAGAAAACAAATTAGTGGTTACCCTACACTCAGTGGACACGCAACACGATATATTCTTATGTGAATGATGCGATTCAAAGG